CACGTGCAGTGGGTCACTCGCTGACTCGCAGGAGTGAACTGGTCAACCCCTCCATCCTGCAGGTCAGCACCACTCACCAAGTTCGTAGAGAACGAGGGGAGGTAAAGACCTGACAGGGAGCCAGACGGGGCCGCCGGACACGGTAGGACAGTGGAGTAGTGAGCAAGGACAGGACCCCCAGAGGGGTCTGCCAGGGAGACTGCAACCGGCCGACTAAGCGGCGTGAGGGTGGTGCGGTCTCGAAAGAAGGAGCGGGAAGCACCCGAGTCAAGGGTGAAGGTGTGCAAGACCGCAGAGGCACAGCACCAGAGAGAGCAGACTCACCAGCACCTGGAGCAGGAGACTCACTAGCACCTAGAGCAGCAGCCTCACCGACACCTGGAGCAGGAGACGCACGAGCACCTAGAGCAGCTGCCTCACCAGCACCTAGAGCAGCAGACTGGATACCGGGGTCAGGCGGCAAACACAGGTGACAGGCACCCTCAGCACTAGTAGACAATGCATACATTGCAGTGAGAAGAGCATCATAGTCAAGAGCAAAGATATCTACCCTCTGCCTAAGCAGCTCCAGCCAGGAGGGGAGCTCAGCGTCGTCGCCAAACTCTGTACGCCAAGCGTCGCTCAGACGGGCGAAGCAGCGGGACTTTGTGTGACCAGGAGTCCCGCAAGGCTGACCAATCCGGACACCCGTGCGAATGACGTACGGGCAGCGAGCACTACTCAGTGACCCTCTACTCTGAGCGTACCACTCGCGAAGCTGCTGGGGCGAAAGGGTCTCACGCGGACGATGCTGTAGCTGCACCTGGCCACTACAAGAAGCTCCCGAACTACTCACTCCAGGACGACTCCCACTACGGCCACCCCGACAACCCAAACTAGCGTACCACTCACGAAGCTGCTGGGGCGGGAGGGACTCACGTGAACGTCGCTGGAGCTGCAGCTGGCTACCGCCAGGAGTAGCAGTAGCAGTAGTAGCCGCAGTAGCAGCAGTAGCAGCAGTAGCAGTAGTAGCAGCGCGGCCACCCCTACAACCCCAACTAGCGTACCACTCACGAAGCTGTTGGGGCGTGAGGGACTCACGCGGATGGCGCTGGAGCTGCATCTGGCCACGCCAGGAGCAGCAGTAGCAGTAGAAAGAGCAGTAACAGCAGTACGGGCAGGGCAGTGCTCACCAGTGGCGAGAAGGGCAGGCGTACGACGGCGGCAACGGCGAGGCCGCGACCACTGCAGGGCAAGGGCTCCGCGGCAGCTGCAGGGGCGGCTGCTCCAGGGGCCAGGGGCGGCTGCTGCAGGGGCGGCTGCTCCAGGGGCCAGGGGCGGCTGCTGCAGGGGTGGCTGCTCCAGGGGCCAGGGGCGGCTGCTGCAGGGGCAGCTGCTGCAAGGGGCGGGGGCAGGGGCCGGCGTCCGAAGGTCGGGCGCGGGTTAGGGCAGGGCGCCGCGGCGGGCAGGGGCGACGCCGCGCGGGTCCCGCAGGGGCGTCGCGACGAGCGGGGGCGACGCCCGGGTCCCGTTGGGGCGTCGCGACGCGCAGGAGCCGCGACGCGCGGGTCACACAGGGGCGTCGCGACGAGGCGGGGGCGACGCGCGGGTCCCGCTGAGGCGTCACGACGAGGCAGGGGCGACACCCGGGTGGCGACGGGGCGGGGCCGCGACTGGCGACGGGGCGGGGCCGCGAAGGGGCCGCGAAGGGGCCGCTAAGGTGCCGCGAAGGGGCCGCGAAGGGGCCGGGAAGGGGCCGCTAAGGGACCGCGAAGGGGCCGCGAAGGGGCCGCGAAGGGGCCGCGAAGGGGCCGCGAAGGGGCCGGGAAGGGGCCGGAAGGGGCCGCTAAGGGACCGCGAAGGGGCCGCTACGGGGCCGCGAAGGGGGGCCGCTAAGGGGCCGCGAAGGGGCCGCGAAGGGGCAGCGAAGGGGCCGCGAAGGGGGCGCTAAGGGGCCGCGAAGGGGGCCGCTAAGGGGCCGCGAAGGGGCCGCTAAGGGGCCTCGAAAGGGTAGGGCAGGTCAGAGCGCGAAGCGCACTACGGGCAGGGTAGGAAAAAATTTAGATGGTGGGCCCTTAGGAAGAAACGGTCCCACTAGGGAACCCGCTCCATACCATGTGAAGAAAGAGGAATGACTGAACTAGCAAAGAGATGGGTACAAGTAGGGAAACCTAGCAGTGTTGTACCCCATATGGTCTACCCCACTACAGCCTACACAGACTGTGTCATGTATGTTTGATATACCGGTCGGGGCGAGTGGGAACGACGCGATCCTGGTCGTCGTCGATCGACTGGCGAAAATGGAACACTTCGCAGCCTGCAAAAAATCAATCACAGCCGAAGAAACAGCTCGCCTCTTCATTTCCACCGTCGTTCGACTACACGGGATACCAGCAGCGATCATCAGCGACCGAGACACGAAATTCACCAGCAACTTCTGGCGGAACCTATGGCAGCAGTTCGGCACGCAACTACAGTTCAGCTCTTCGTACCACCCCGAGACCGACGGACAGACAGAAAGGACAAATCAGACGATGGAACAGCTCATCCGAGCCACGTGCGACGACCCAACCACCTGGGAACAGCAACTGCCACTCATCGAATTCGCGTACAACAACTCACCTTCCGCCACGACCCAACAGTCACCGTTTTACCTGAACCACGGATAAGACCCGACAGTACCCATGACCCCGAATCCCGACAACCCAGTACCACGAGCGCAACAGTTCGCCGAGATTTTACAAGCAGCACGGACCCGGGCAGCAGACGCAATTAAATAAATCGAACATCATCGCTAAACGCAACGCCGGCCGCCACCGCCGACCTGTCACTTACCAGTCCGACGACCTAGTTTTACTTGACACACAGAACCTCCGCCTGCCCATTACCCCAAAACTCCGCCTCCGATGCTGTGAACCATTCCGCATCAGCCACATGATTACACCCGTCACCGCCCACCTCCTCCTCCCTGCTGACTGGTACGCCAGTCCGTCTTTCCACATCAGTCTGCTTCGCCCCTACGTACCATCCACAAGCCAACTGCCACGCAACCGCCCCGCCAGCATGACACGACCGCCGACAGAGCCAATCATAACGCCTGAGAAGATTCTGAGCCACCGAGTTCGTGACCCACGAGGAGCCCGAAGGATCGAATTCCTGATCCGCTGGAGAGACCGTACACCCACCGAGGACAACTGGGTTCCCCTGGACAAAATCGAAAACCACCCCGTCCTCACAGAGTATTTGTGCAGCCGGAATTTTCGGGATGTATACGCGCTTTCGTAAGGGCCTCCTTGGGGGGGGGGGGGGGGGGGGGGGGGGGGGGTAGTGTAAGGAAAATTTCCTTTTCCTTACTTCGCGTCCCTGCTCAGCGCGTACACCACTGTAGCACCACAGTCAGCACCGTTACCACTCGCAACCATCGCATCGACAATCCTCCCGCCACCTTCGCACGTCGCACCCCGACCTCACGGCTCGGCGGGTAACCAGCGCTCCGGGCCTCCGCCTCGACATTTTCCCAAACCTCAGTTCCAGGCCCGTCGCGCGTCACCCACAGCTCATTACCGTTACCAACTTACCACTGTAGTTTCGCTATATATTCTTTGCTCATGCCTTCGCTCATTGTACTCTTGCTTCGATAGTGCAATTCTCGCTCGATCACTCGATTGCACTCCTAACAACGAAGCGAGACGGAACTGCCTTGCGAACGCAACAAAGACAGGGCTTGCCGTGACGTGATGCCTTTGCCCATGATGGTGACGCACTTTGCGGACCCGCCACGCAATCAATCTGAGGGCGTCTTATTTTAGGATGCTCAAACCCAAACCCGCCACGCCAGGCTGCCATGATGCTGACGTTTTTTTGCGGCCCCGCCACGTAATCACAGATCTGGGCCGCGACCAACCTCGCCGATGCCTGCCTTCGCGACACGACGAGCCATGGCGGCGCGCCCGGCGGGGGAAGCGCTCCGCCGACAAGCAGAACGCCGACAAGCAGAACGCAAGCATCGTGGTGTCTCTCCGGAAGGGTGGGAGCCAAGCAAGGCCCTTCCCTTGGTGCTTGGCGAAGAACGGACTCTTGCACAGTCCCGGTTGCCTTCTTGTTTCAACCGCACCTGCGCAGATGGTTCTTTTGAGTTCGCGGCTCCAGCAGCAGCAGCAGCAGCAGCACGAGGAGTTCCACCGCCAAGCCATTTGGAATCTTGATCACGTCGATAATCTCAATCAGCCTCAACAGGGATCTCAGCCCCGTAGTAAGCCTGTTGCCCACCTCGTCGCGCAGCTCGTCGCCCATCTCGTCGCCCATCTCGTCGCCCAGGTCGTCGCCCACCTCGTCGTCGCGCAGCCCGTATTGAACGGAAAGCCCAGCCCGTCGCCGTCGCGGCGAGATCTTCTTTGTGAGAGCAGAAGCGAGTTGCGGCAGCACGTATGAGGGAGCTCTGTGCGATGTCGCGCCTGCCTCCGCCGCTGGCTCACATTTGAGTCGACTTAAAGAGGACAGCGCAGTATGCGCACAAGGAACCAGCACCTACCAGTGAGCTCCCTGTTATGACCGTCCCTGAATCCGCCGACTGCCATTTGCTCCCTCGCTCTTCAGATTCGAGTCAACCTAAACCCACTATGCTGCCAGTCTCCGCATCCGCCGACTGCAGTCTGCTCCCGGGCCTGCCCAATGACGTCGCGCTCGCCTGTCTCGCGCGCCTGTCCCTCTGGGACCTGCCCGCCGCTCGCTGCGTGTCGCGCGCCTGGGCGGCTGCCATTCGCCGCCGATCGTTCGGCCGCCTGCGACGCGTCCGCGCAGAGGAAGGGGGGTGGGGGGGTGCGGGGCGAAGGGAGAGGATGCGCGACCGCTGGAGGGAAGGAAAGGAGAAGGGGGAGGGTAAGGGAGAGGGGAAGGGGAAGGAGAAGGGGGGGGGAAAGGGAGATGGGAAGGAGAAGGAGAAGGGGTGGGCGGAAGGCGAGGGGGAGATTCGTTCTCTGCCCAGGAGTCTCTTGAGTGGTTCCGAGAAACGCTTACCGCCGATGCACTTTGGATCTTACATGCCCGCCCCAGGGGGTTTGACGGCGTGTGTGAACGGGGCCCGCTGTGACAGCCAGGGTGCAATGTTGGTGCTGTGCGTGGGTGGTAGCAACGGTAGCAGCAGCGACAGCGCAGGCAGGCAGCGACTGCAGTGGTTCGCCTGCTGCGTCTGTGAAGCCTGCAGAACATGCGATCCACTCTGTGAAACATGCGACCCGTGCGACCCCTGCCAAGCCTGCCAGCCCTGCGACAGGCACGGTTTGTCGTCAGACCCATGCACCTCCTGCGTCCCCAACGCATTCCCCAGGTGGCGCCGCCTGCCCCCGCTTCCCCCCACCAACCCCCACTCCCACCCAGCCTGCTACGGCGCCGTCGCCACGGTGATACCCGGAACCGGGTTTGCAATCGTGGGCGGCGCCGTGCCTTCCCAGTCAGGCAGGCCGCAGCACGTGCGCCATGTGTCAGTGTTTGACTGGCACATGGGCGCGTGGTTTGACATGCAGCAGCCGTGCATGCTTCCTAGATTGGACCCTGTGGTGGCTGGAACTGCAATGGGTGGGGTGCGGTGGAATGGGGGGCAGAGGGGTTGCCTCATGGTTGTCGGAGGATGTCCTGTGCCGTTTTTTCCACGGGGGAGCTCTGTTGGTTCATGTGGTAGAGTTGTCGTTCGCCCTTCAGAAACGGGGGTAGTTGAGAAACTTCTTGTTTTTCCACCTCCTGGAGCCTCTCCCAGCTTGCCACGTGACAGTGCTTTCCCCAGCAGCCACGCACGACACCCGTTCCTGGGGGTGTGCACGATGTGCATTGCGATGCCTGCAGGCGGATTCGGCACCAATGAATGTGACACTGACGAGCGTTCCTGTAACAGCGAATCGGGGTCTGCTGTTCACAGCAGCGCCAGCAACAGCAGCAGCTACAGCACCAGCGGCAGCAGCAGCAAAAGCAGCGGCCGCAGCAGCAGCAGCAGCAGCAGCAGCAGCAGCGGTGACGGCAGGGGCGGCACAGGCAGCATGCTGAGTGGTTGCAGTTTGACTGAAGGCGGCTGCAGCAGCAGAAGCGGGGAGCATTACTACCATTTCCCAAGGCTCGACTCACTCATGCTGGGAGGGCGGGTGTTTGTGCGACGGCACAGGTCGCCCTACTTTGCTATCAACCCCGGGGGCTTCAACCGCCACGCTACCACACCAGCTCCACCTGCTCACACTGCCCATGGCCCTGGTAACCAGGTTACAGGCCCTGGCAGCGGCAGGAGCAATGGGCTGAACAGTGGCACGCTATCAGAGGCAGGTGTGGTGGAGGCTGACTGGGAGAGCGCTGAGATGTGGAGGGTGGTGGAGGAGTCTGACGCCATCCATGCCATCTGGACCAGAACACACGTGGCACAGGTGATTGTAGCAGCACATGTGACTGGAGCAAATACTGTAGCAGGTGTGACTGTGTCGGATGTGCCTGCAGAGCCAGCAGCAGAAGCAGACGACTCAACGAGTGCATACAGCAGCGCAGCATGCCAGGCGCCACGCCTTGACACGCCTCAGCAGCCACCAGGCGCCCACAGCAGCCGAGCCACCTACTCCGTGCTCTGCTCTCTGGACCCCAACCACTCTCTCCTCGTCTTCAACAACCTTCGCCGCAGATGGGTCCCTGCTGGCCCTCCGCTTCCCCCACGCTCCCCGCTTCGTCCGCCTCTTCCGCGTCCATCCCCTCAGCGTCTCTGCCCGTGTGGCAGGGGCTCACATGAGAGATACTGTTCCACTCTACCCGGCACACCCACTGCACCGTCCAACTCCCACTCTGCTACCCCTGACCCATGCCTTCCAGCCTCTGCCAGCGGTGCAGCCGCCGCTGCCGCTGCTGCTGCTGCTGCCATTCCTGGCAGCGCGGCCAGTTTTGCCAGTGCCGCCAATTTCGGAAGGCTGCAGCAGCTTCTTGGGTGTGGCGGCCGTCTCGTGGCTCTCTTCCAGCCACACGACCCGCGCCTCCCAGGAGTGATGCGAGAAATCCTCCTCCCGGACCTCCACACTCTCTCCTCTCTCTCCGCCCTGCTCCCTCACACCTCCTCCTCCTCATTCCCCTCCTCACTCCCCTCCTCTCAGCCTTCTCTCTCTGCCCCCACACAACCTCCCATCACTGTCGGATCCCCAGCAGCACAGGCGCAGGCTTCAGGGAGTGTGCCTGTAGCAGCAGCTAGAGAATCGATGCAGCTGATGTATGGTGATAGTATCGAGGGGCCAAGTGGCTGGGCAATGGGTGCTCCAGTCGCCTTGCCTGGCAACGGAAGGTTGCATCACGTGCTTTCCATGCACCCTGCCGTTTAGGAACATTGATATGATCCAATATGGCTGTACATAGGGGAGTGAACTGAGTTGCTTGCTACTGATTCTTTGAGAGGTTTGTCTAGTAAATGATGTGGAAGCAGAGTTGCGTTCTCCCTTTCCCTAGAGCTCCAGAGCTCTGTTTGTTTAGTGCATTCTGACTGTCGTAAAGTTCTGGTACAATGCCCATGGTCAAAAGGAGCTCAAACTTGTTTGATTGGCATGGCAGCGGAGAGATCCTCCCTACACAAAGGAAAGGAAGTTGTCATTGTAGTGCTGGCGCCCTAATTTCCTTACAGCTCTTGTTTTCCCAGTAAACGCACTGCAATGCAATGCAGTGAATTGGGTGGGTGAGACTCCCATTCAAAATGAAATTCCTAGCTCTCGATCCATTACACGTGCTTGCATCTGCAACAATCGACGGCACGCTCCTTCCTCCTACAAATGAATCCATGCAGCTGCAGTGAGCACATGACATAATGCTTCAAGCCCGCCTGAGAGCAGCAGCCCTCATGGCTTCCACGAGCTCCAGCATCTGACAGCCATGGCATACAGGCGCATGAGGGCATGGGAGGGAGAATGATGGTAGCATTAGGAAGGGAGAGGAGGGGGGAGGGGCGAGGGGGGAAGGGAGACGGGCAGGAGCAGGAAACCATGACTTGTATGCTTTGCTGACCTGACTTGCTCAATGCCCATGTGGTTCTGAGTGGGCACGCGTGTGGGTAGGCGTGTGGGCAGGCAGGCAGGTGAGTGGGGGCCAAGGACGTCTGGTGTGGTATGCTGTGCATGTGTGCCCGTGTCTCAGGTGCAGGTGCCTGCATGGGCCATGTGTGCCCTCATGTGCATGTGTGTGCCCTCATGTGCATGTGTGTGCCCTCATGTGCATGTGTGTGCCCTCATGTGCATGTGTGTGCCCTTAACATGGGGGCGTGGTGTGCCCGGCGCACAGCAGCCTCCTCTACAGCTCGCTCAGCACATATGTGAGTGTGCGGGGGTGCATTGCAAGTGTGCATGTGCTTGTGCATGGTGCATGCATCCCCCTTCCCCACTCACCAAAGAGGCCCCAACTCACCCCAGGGAGGCCTCTTAACATGGGGGAATGGTGAGCGAGTCTCACAGCAGCCTCCTCTATCAGCTCACTCAGCGCGTGCACCTCATCCCCCAGCATGTGTGGGTGCGTGGGGGTGCATTACATGTGCCTGTGGATGCTGCAAGCATCCCCCTCCCCAACTCACCCCGGGCAGGCCTCTTAACATGGGCGCGTGGTGCGCGAGGCGCACAGCAGCCTCCTCCACGAGGTCGCTCAGCGCGTTCACCTCGTCCCCCAGCAGCTGCACCTCCCTCTCCGCCCGCCCCAGGTTCGCCATCGCCACCCGCACCGCCTCCTGCTGCTGCCGCCACTTGTCCTCCGCTGCTTGCAGCAGGCTGGCGGGCACGGGGAGGCGAGAGGGCGCATGAAGGGGAGGCGAGAGGGCGCATGAAGGGGAGGCGAGAGGGCGCATGAAGGGGAGGCGAGAGGGCGCATGAAGGGGAGGGAGGGGCAAGGGGATGAGAGAGAGGCGGCAACAAGTGGAGGGGAAAGCTGGTTCAACTCAAACTGCCGCTACCATGCAGAAGACTGGATGCACGGCGAGCGGCACAGGGGTGGAAGGAGGGAGAGGACGGATAGGTATGGCGAGAGAGGGACGCGGAGAGGTGAGGAAGGGGAGGGAGGGGAGGGAGGGGCGAGAGGGGAAGCCTGGGAGGAAGGGGAGGGAGGGGAGGAAGGGGAGGGAGCGGACGAGGGGAGGAGACAAAGAGTGAAAAGAAACGGTCACTCTGAACTGATTAAGAAACAAATGCCACGGTGCGTTGAGTGATTGGAAATGATGAGTCAGTTCAGCACCCGACTTGACAATGACTGAAATACACCTGAATTATGCTGACTGAACAGCATGAAAAAGTTAAGAGTACAGACTGACCGAAAAAGAGGGCAGACTGACCGGAACGGAAAAGAGGGCAGACTGACCGGAACGAAAAAGAGTGCAGACTGACCGGAACGAAAAAGAGTGCAGACTGACCGGAAGGGAGTGGCATCGCCTGGAGACGCCACACTACTGGCAGGCGACCACGGCTGTAGCTGTCCATGCCTGCCGGTCCCTGCTGCCGTGGCAGCTGTAGCAGGAGTAACTGCCGACGGCGTGAAAAACGCCGGTGTCTTGCCACCGCCAGGTGTATACGTTGGCGTCCCTCCACCTGCCCCTCCAGGTGTTTCTTCAGGTGCCCCCTGATGCAGCACCAGCGCACCCGTGCCTGCCTGGTCCAGCGCCCCCAACAGGTTCTTCTGCACACTGCCCACATCCCCCACCCCCTGCCCTCGCCCGCCTGCCCCCTGTGCCGTGAAAAATGCCGAGCCAGAGGCACGCACAGCACAAGGATGGGCAGCAGACCTACCACCACCCGCAGCAGCAGCGGCGGCAGTGGCAGCGGCAGCGGCAGCAGCAGCAGTGGTGGCACCGGCAGCAGCACTGGCAGTGGCACTGGGACCGAAGAGGGGCGGAGAGGAGGGCCAGGCGAGCTGCAGCTTGAGGCGACTCTCAATCTCCTTCAGCTTCTCCTCCGCTTCCCCCCTCCTCCTCCTCTCCCCCTCCGCCTCCCTCTCCGCCCGCTCCCTCTCCCCCATCACCCGCTCCACCTCCCTGCCCGCCCGTGCCACCTCCCCTTCCATGCGCGCCACCTCCTGCCGCCACCGCTCCCTCTCCTCACCTGCCTGCCTCTCCCGCTCCGCCAGGGCAGCAGCGGCACCTGCAGCAGCACTGGCAGCGGCCTTTCTGGTCTCCTCTAGTGTCTGCAGCGCGGCTCTCACTCTCTCCTCCGCTGCTCTTGCCTCTTCCTCCCCACGCTGCTGCTCCCTCACAATCGCCTGCTGCCCTGCCTGCACCTGCTGCCGCAACTGGTGCGCCTGCCCTTGCCACTCCTCAACCTGCCCCTGCAGCCCGTACACCTGCCCTTGTAAGTCCTCAATCTGCCCGTGCATCTCCTCCACCTGCCCTAGAAACCCGTTCACCTGCCCGTAAAGCACTCTCTTGTGCTCTCGCAGCTCACCCAACTCACCCTGCAACCGCCCCACCTCCTCGCCCTTCACCCCCACCTCCTCCTCCACCTCCCCCACTCTCATCTGCAGCTCCCCCACTCTCCTCCGCGCCTCACACACCTTCTCCTCCAACTCGCCAACTCTTCCCTTCAGCTCACAGACCTCCCCCTGCAGCCCCTCCCGCTCCCCCACCAGCTCCTCCCTCTCCCTCGCCGCCGCCACCTCAGCCACGCGCCTTTGCTCCTCCAGCATCTCACTCCACTCCTCCGCCTCCCTCCGTCGCCGCTCTCTCACCAGCTCTCTTCTCACCGCCTCGCCCCACCCCTCGCCCTGCAGCAGCGCTTCACTCGCCACCAGCAGCTGAAGCGCACAGCACCGCAGCGCTCTCCTCACGGCATCCACCTCGTTATTCAGAGCCACCGGCCCCTCGGGTTCCCCGTCGGGCCCGCACTGGCACTGCTGTGCTGCGGCCCCATCCTCCTCCTCCGTCTGCTGCAGCGCCTGCAACACAATGAACGACTCCAAGTCCCGCGCCCTCGCTTCTTGCTCCCACCCCGCCGTGCCCTCCCGCTTCCCCTCCTCCCATCCATCACCCTCCCTCCTTTCCTGCTCATCCTTCCTCCCATCTTTCCCCAACCTCCCCCCGTCTCCCTCGCCCCTCTCGTCCCTCCCATCAGCCTCCCCTCTCCCTGCAATCCTCTCACCTGTCCCCCCATCGACGCTCCTCCCCAGCCTCTCCTCTGCTTCTTCCAGTGCCAACTGCATCACCAGCAGCTGCAGCTGCAGACCCAACACCATCTCCTCCCTCCCCTTATCCTCAACCTCGCATCTCACTCCCCCCTTTTCCCCACCCACCGATCCCACACCCTCCCTCCCCTCCTCCCCTTCCCCTCCTAACCTCAACCCTTGCCGGGCCTCTCCCCGAGCCTCTTCCAGGGCCTTCCGAGCCTCGGCCAGATCAGCCAAGTACTGCCGAAGCTGGGAGGCCTGCTCCAGCCTGGCTGCTCGCTCCTCCCCCCAAGCCTCCTCCATGCCTCTCACCGCTTCCTCTAACACTGCCACGTGTACGCCCTCCCCCACCACACTCCCCACCGCTGCCCCTGCCACGTCACCAGCCTTGCCCAGCTGGCATGCCGCTTCGCACGCCAGCTGGCGCCGGCGCTTCCTCAGCTGGCTGACAGCTGTCGACACAGAGCGCAGCCGCTGAGTCAGCGTTTTTCTAAGCTGACTCAACCGGTGCTGCTGGCTTTCTGCTGCCACAGCTGCTGCATCCCACTCCTGCCTCTCCCTCGCCACCCTCTCTTCACTCCTCTCTATCCCTTCCAACCGCTCTGCCACATCTGCTCCTTCCTGCCCCCTGTCACCACCTGCATCCCCCACCATGCCCGTGTCACTCAGCCGTTTCAAGGCCTGGGAGCAGTTCAGCAGCTGCAGCGCTGCCACCCCTGCGTTTCCCCCAGCCTCTGCACCACCACTGGTAATGCTAATGGCAGTGGCAGTGGCACTGGCAGTGGCAGTGGCACTGGCAGTGGCAGTGGCACTGGCAGTGACACCCGCACCTGTACCTGCATCCTTGCCCACACCTGCATCCTTGCCCACACCTGCATCCTTGGCCACACCTGCATCCTTGGCCACACCTGCATCCTTGGCCACACCTGCATCCTTGGCCACACCTGCATCCTTGGCCACACCTTCGCCCGCTCTGCTGTTGCCCGCACACCACAGCGCATCCCCCACTTGCCGCCACCATGCCCTATCCCTCTCCACCGCATCCAGCTCCTCCCCTAACGCCTTACAAACTTGCTCCATCTCCGCTGCTGCTCGCTCCACCAGCTGCTGCCAGTCTTCGCCCGCACCCAACTCTCCCGTCCCCCACTCCACCCCTCGTCCCCCCTTCTTCCCCTCCCACTCCCCCTGCTCCCGCCCCCCCCCGCCACCCTCCGCCTTCTCCTTTTCCAGAGCGTCCAATTGCTGTTGCTGCGCCTCTACCTCCTTCTCCAGACTCGTTACAATCACATTCAGCTTACTCACCTCCTCTCTCGCCCTCTCTAGCTCCCCCTCCGCCTCTCTCCTCCCCCTCTCCGTTTGCTGCGCTGCTTCCACTGCCCTCTCACACTCCCCACCCACTCGCTCCACCTCCTCTTGTAATTCTCCCTCTCTCTCCCTCGCTCGCTCCAACTGTTCCTCCAGCCGTCCTTTCTCCCTCTCATGCTCTCTCTTCCGCTCCTCCTCCTCCTCCTCCCACCCAACCAGCACCTGCTGCCAGTCCCGCCTCACCCCCTCCATCTCCTCCTCCTTCTCCCGCGCCACCGCTCTCAACTCCTCCACCTCCTCTCTCAACCCCCTCATCTGCTGCTCGCTCTCAGCAGCAAACGCACACAGCCGCTCCTCCTTCTCCACCACAGCGCGCAGCAGACTCGCCACCTTCTCCCTCTCCTCCCTCACCTCCCTCTCCAACCCCCTCACCTTCTCCCTCTCCTCATCCGCCCTCTCCCTCTCCTCATCCGCAGCAGCCTCCCACTCCTCCGCCGCCCGCTTCGACTCTCTCCAGTACTGCTGCAGCTCCACCATCCGCTCTCGATACACCTCCTTCTCCTCCTCCGCTTCCGCCACCTTCCCCCGCCACTCCGCCTCCACCTCACCCAACCGTCGTCTGCACTCATCAGCCTCCTCTCTGGCAGCGTCCAGCTCGTGGTAGCTGCGGGCGATCTGAGAGACAGCGGCCTTGCTGGCGTGCAGGCGGCCCTCCAATGCGGCAATGCGCTTGTTCTTGTTGTTGTTCATGAGCTCCAGGTTCAGGATCTTCACCCGCACACTCGCTGCCTCCGGCTCCCCTTCCCCGCATTCACCTATCCCAAATTCACCTGCCCCAGAACTACCCGCCCCAGATTCACCTCTCTCTGCAGCACTGGCAGGGCCCTCACCTTCTGCAGCAGCGAAAGCATCATCCACCCGTACTGCCACAGACTCAGCAGAAGCAGCAGCAGCAGCAGGATCAGCGGCAGCAGGAGGAGCAGCAGTGGTGTCAAGAGCGCGCAGCTGGTGAGTCTGAGTGCCCTCCACGTGTGCCTCCAGCCGCCTCACAGCATCCCTCAGCGCGTGGGCCTCCTGCTGCCGCCGCTCCGCCTTGCCGCGCCACGCCTCCACCTGCGCCAGCATGGCACTCATCGCCTCCTCCAACTCCTCCACCCGCCTCTCCGCACACCACCTGCTATCCCCCGTCATCAAACTTCCTGTCATCACACTCCCCCCTCCTGTCAGTGCACTCTCCCCTCCTGCTGTCCTGCCTCCTGCTGCTGCTGCTGCCCCTGACTCTGCACCTGCCCTCACCCCAGACGCTCCCGTGCCGCCCTTTCTCGCTTGAGCACTACACGCCTCATCATCCCCAACCCCCTCGCTCCCTTCCACGCCCACCGCCACCCCCGTCCCCTCATCCACCTCCACTCCCAGTCCCTCCCCCTCCCCCTCCCCATCACCACTTGAACCGCCCTCCCTCCTCACCCGCCCTTCAATGTTCCCTGCAAATCCGCGCCCCTCTGGCCGCTTGCCCTTCACAGCAGACCCAGCACCCTCCTCCAGTGTCCCCAGCCCCGTGCCTGCCACCGCCCTTGCTGCACCTTGCCCTGCCCCATCGCCAACACTCCCACTGCTCTCTTCCACCTTCTCCCGCTCCCCATCCTCTCCCCTTTCGGTCCTCCCCTCCGCTTCTCCCCCTCCATCCCCTCCCTCGCCTGCACTCTCCCGCGCCACCACCTGCGCCATCTCCAGCAGCAGCGCCACCCCATCCTCTTCCTCCGCCTCTCCCTCCTCCCTCTCCCCTCCCACCTCCCTCCCCTCCTCCTCCTCATCCCCGTCCCCACTCCCTGCTCTCACCCACGGCGCAATCCTCACACGTGCTCGTATCTCAGGTGATCTTAACGAGGGTGACACGTCACCCTCCTCTGACACAGGCCCCACGCTCCCCTCACTCCTATCACTGAACCCCCCCTCGCTACTGTCACTCCCACCATGCCACACACCCCCATTCCCACCAAAAAACCTCCCTCCCTTGACTCTGAACCCACCCCCACCACCACCACCTCCACCCCCACCGCCTCCTCCTCCTGCCCCGCGGCCAGCTATCCGGGGCATGGGTGTGGCCCCAACAGACGCCGGTCGCCGCGCCTTACCCCCCTCCCTCGCCTCCCGCACCTCCCGCGCCTCCCCTCCGCGCCCCTCACTCCCCGCGCCGCCCCGCTTCACCGCGCCGCCAGTGCTGCCCGGGCGCACCACAAACGCGCGCCCTGCAAACTGCCCAGACTGCTGCTCCCGCCCAGACTGCTGCTCCCGCCCAGACTGCTGCTCCCGCCCAGACTGCTGCTCCCGCCCAGACTGCTGCTCCCGCCCAGACTCCTCCTCGTCCAGCAGCATTGACAGCCCTGCCCGTGCCCCTGCTCCCGCCCCTCCCCCCCACCTGAGCCCTCTCACGCCCACGCCCACCCTCGCCCTGCCCTGCTCCTCTCTCCTGCTCTCCACCTCCTCCCCTTCCTCCTCCTCCTCCTCCGCTCGCTCCCCCTCCCCTCCCACCGACTCTTCTGAACCTCTACCTGCTTTCCCTCCTCCTTCCCCCTCTCTCTTTCCCTTTCCCCGTCCCCTGCTTCCCCCCTTCCTCTCCAGCACCCTCACCCTCTCCCTCAATCCCTCCTCCACCTCCCTTCGCTCTGCCACGTCAGCTTCCAGCTCAGCAATCCGCCTGTCACAAGCGCGCTTCACCTCGTCAAACTCACCCTGAACCGCACTGCACCGCTGCTCCCGCCCACTCGAGATACACCGTTCACTAAACAGCTCCTGATTCAAAGCCGCCACCTCACCCTCCAACTCACCCACCCGCCTCTCCTTCTCCCGCACCTCCCCCTCCAGCCGGCCAATCAGAGCGACGCAAGCTGCCAGCCTGGCAGCACCATCTGCCACCTGCCTCTCCGCTGCTCTCAGCTGCTCCAGCAGCTTCCCCTGCCGCCCCTCCTCCTCCTTCCGCGCGTCCCTCTCCCTCTCCGCCACCTCAACCCTTCTCTGCAACTGCTCCACCTCCTCCTCCAACGCCCGTGCCTGCTCCTCCGCCTCTCTCGCCCTCGCTTCCTCTGCTCTCAGCCTCTCCTCTACTGCCCTCGCCCGCTCCTCTGCCTCTCTCACCCGCTCCTCAAGCTGAGTTCTCTCAGCGTCCCACACTGCTTCGCGGTCAGTCAGTTCGCCCCACAGCTCAGCAGCCTCTGCTGTGCGCTCCTGCTGCTGCTCCGCTGCCCCTGCCTCCGCTGCTTCCGCCCTCGCCTCCGCCTCTCCCCTCCCCACCTCCGCTGCTCTCACCCTCTCCTCCGCCTCGCCCCTCGCCGCCTCTGCTGCTTCCGCCCTCGCCTCTGCAGCAGCCGCCCTCTCTTCTGCTCGCCCCACCAGCGCCTCAGCTGCGGCTGCTCTCCTCTCTAGAGCAGCAGCGTTGGCCTCAGCAGCAGCCACACGGGCCTGCCACTCCTCCTCTGCCTGTTGCATCGCCACTCCCATCACTTCCACCATCACTTCCCCACCCATCCTGCCTTCAGCCTCTCTCCGTTCCCCCTCCTCCTCCCCCTCTTCAACTGGTCTCACCTCCGGCTGCTGCTGCTGCTCTAGCTGCTGCCTCTGTAACTCCCTCTCCCGCCCATGCCACGTGGCAGCAGCCTGTTGGAGCGCCGTCTGCAGCACCACCTCCACCAGATCGCCCTTCGCCGCCCACTCCTCCCTCTCCTCAGCCACAGCCGCCGCTACAGCCGCCGTTACAGCCGTACCCTCCCTCTCTCCCACCATCCTAGCCTGTTCCGCCACAGCCCTTCCAGCTGCCTCTACTCTCACCGCCTGCTCTGCAGCAGCCAGTCGACCCAGCAGCTCTCGCCGCTCCCCCGCACTCCTCTCCTCCAGTCCACGCCAGCCGCTTTCCACCTGCTCCAGTGCCGCCTGCAGCGCCGCCTGCACCAAATCGCCCTTCGCCACCCACTCGTTCCTCTCCTCAGCTACAGCCGCCGCTGCAGCCGCTGCTACAGCCGGCGCTACAGCCGCAGCGGCCTGTAGGGCGGCCACCTCCACGACCTTGTCCACCAGATCGTCTCTCATCTTGCACTTGTCGCTACGCTCCGCTACAGCCGCTACAGATGAAGCGTCTCCTGCTGATGAGTACGCTACAGCTGAAGCTTCTCCTGCTGCTGAAGCTGCTGCTACAGTCGCTACAGCTGAAGCCGCAACAGCCGCTACGGCTTGCTCCAAGGCGATCGCCAGCACCTGCTGCTGCAGTGACGCCGCTGCTGCTGCCGCTGCTGCTGCTGCCACCTCGTCTCTCGGATCCACCCCTTCCTCCTCCCGCTCCCCTCCCATCCGCACCTCCCCCCTCTGCTCCCCCCTCTGCTCTCCTTTATGCGTCCACGTGGCATGCCAGCTGGCAGCCGCCTGCGCTACAGCCGCCTCCACCACGTCCGCCTGTAGCTGCTCTGCCGCCTGTAGCTGCTCTGCCGCCTGTAGCTGCTCTGCCGCCTGTAGCTGCTCTGCCGCCTGTAGCTGCTCTGCCGCCTGTAGCTGCTCTGCCGTTACGGCAATAGCAGTGCGTGTGGTGGCAGCAGATCGAGGCGGAGAAGCGGCAGCAGCAGCAGAGGAACTGTATTCGTCCCTCTTATCTGGCTTCTTCAATCTGCTTCCCTCCTTTACGTCTGCTGCTGCGGTGGGATCTTCCAATTCAGATCCGCCACGTGTGCCCGCCGCTGCAATAACCCCCAAATCAGACCCTCCGAACGTCCCTCCGATCGCTGGTTCAGTCGCAGGACCAGTCGCCAGAGCCCGCGACTCTAGCGACGCCTGGGTAGCTCCAGACGACACCGGCGATTGCTCTTCCCCGCCGGACCCGCGCGCTGAATTATCCGCATCGCCCGCCTTGCTTTGCGCCTCCGCATCGGGGGGCGGGGATGAGGGGGGCGCATCTGCGTCGGGGGGCGGGGAGGTGGGCGACATCCACGCGCCCAGAATCCCCCCAAACGGTAGCCACGTGGAGGAGGGTGAGGGGGTCAGGGCAGCGCGCGACGGAGTGTGTGCACCAGGCAAGGGGGTATTTGCGGCCGCGGAACCTCCTTTCGCACTCGCGGGCGTGCTGGGTTGCGAGGATCCCGCCGGTGATTGAGCCGGCGACGGCGATGCGACTAAATCTGTCGCATGTGAATCTGTCGCCTGGTTATCTTCACCCATGGCGTCGTCTGCCCTTTTGGCATCATCCAACCGGGGCTCTGTCTCCATCGTCGCATCCACACCGTCGATCGCAGCGATCAGTTTCGCCACTTCTCTCTCCGCTTCCGCGATCTCGTCCGCGCGTTCGCGGTTTTTAGCCGTTGGGATTCCGAATAGCCCTTGTCGCACGGCCGGTGTGTGCTCTCGCAGCTGCTCTAGCGACACCTCGAGAATCAGCTTCTGTAACTCTTTCGCCAACACTTCGCCGCCTACGTCTCGGGACATCCTACGGCCGAGAGGAGCTCTCCCTACATGCTTTGAAAAGTACTCAATCCTGAGAAGCTCACGAGGTGGCGCACGCAGCGGACGACCAGATAAGAGATCATGAACGAAAGAACCTTTTTTCACAGTCGGGTGTGTGCGTGGCGTGGATTTGCGATCTAGGCCGTCTATTGCATGGATCGTGATGGTGGTGCTGCTCTTTGTTGTTCTCGATCCGTTGTACTTCGCTTCGTTTTACGTTACTGTTGAAGCACATTGTAGCGAACCCTGAACTTATATATACACGAGAACACGTAGCATTTGCAGAGAAATGTGTACAGAAGACACAGTATGATTAACAAAGCACTATAACATATATATACAACTAGTAGCCAGCCCTTATAGATGCCGTTCTGGAATTAGAAACTAATCGGGTCCAAGAGGTTGCCCCTGAAAAAAAACAACACAAGCTAAGAGCCTCTCGCTTCAAGTCTGTTTCAAGTACAGGTTGCTTCTGCGCCGTCAAGAGTCTTCACAAATCTGCCCTTCACCCGTTGCCTCCCGTCCGCGCGTGTCTTGCGTGACTCGTACCGAATCTTCTTGGCAAACCTGCAGCATTTCCCAGGGCAAGTGGATGGAGACTGAGGTGGGTGAGATGCACAGCTCCTTGAGCATCAGAAGAACAGGGATGCGGCTGCGGTGTACACACAGAAACCCAACACTAGTGAGCGGCCAAGAGGAGATATCACGGAGCAGGGACAGGCAAGGAAGGGAAGGGGAGCAAATGGAATGGGGAAGGCAAACGAAGGCAAGGGAAGGCAAGGGACTGCGAAGGAAGGGAAGAGTAGGGAAGGGATACTGACGTGCGGTGCTTCTTCTTCTCCATGTATCGCATCACTGCCTCGTCCCTGGCTGCTGCTGCTGACACCGCCACCATGGCTGATAGCACCGTGCCGCCCATCATTTGGCCCCCGCCCATCACCCCGCCGCCCGCCCCCTGCATGCTCCTCGCCCGGCACAACCAGGGGTCCGCAAGAAACCCGTTGACCGAGTTGACTGGGTTGACCGCATTAACTGAGTTGACTGCGTTCCCGTTGACTGCATTGACTGGGTTGACTGGGTTGGCGGAGTTGAGAGCATGGAGGGCGTGGGCCATACTCATGGGGCCAGCAGGGTGCATGGCACTGCCACCAAACAGCGTGGCAGCACTGCTGGGACCGGCTCTCTCAGCGCCAGAAAATGCCTCTGATTTCACCTCCACTGGCGCTGTTGCCGCCACCGCAGCAGCAGCAGCAGCAGCAGCAGTTGCCGCCATTTCTGCAGCCACAAGCCCTGCCATGCCCATGGCCTCACCCTCGCTGCCTCCCCCCCCTGCTTGTGCGTCTGGGGTGGCAGTGCCTCTGCTGCTGCGCCCATCGCGCATCATCTGCCCCTCCAGCGCCTGGAACAGCGCCAGCTCCCTCTCCTCCTGCCCCGCCTCCCCCGCCGCCCCACCCGCACCTCCCGCCGCACCTGCCAAGGAGCTGGACGCCGAAGCTGTGGACAAGGTTCGGATGGCAGCATTGTTCCACACCGCTCCGTTCCTCCAAGGCACACGACCAGAGGCGTCTGCGGCAGCAGCTGCACCGAAAAGAGTGGCAGGGGTGGTGAGGTCACTCGGGCCATTGGCATTGGGTGCGGTGACGGCAGAACCGCCTAGTCTGCGGTCCAGCAGAGCGCACGTGGTGGGTGATGCACTGCCATCCATGCCTGCTGCGCTGCCGCCCGCCTCCCCCACCACCCTCGCTAGCAGACAGTTCATGCCGGCCATGGAGGACGGCGGGCGGGCGGCGAGCCAGTCAACAGTGTCCTGATCCAGTGGCTGCATGAGCGCACCTGCTGCTGCCATGCCCCCCAGAGGCTGGGCAGCACAGCTATCAGCACCTAGGCCAGTAGCACCCATGCCACCTGCACCCATGGCGATCCCATCCTCCCCCTCCTGCTCCTCCCGACCCCCCCGCTCTTCCTGCTCTCCCCCCGCCTCCTCCTCCTCCCTCACCACCTCCTCGCCCCCGTCTCGCCCCAGCTGCCCGCCAAACTCGCTGTTGTTCTCGCCAAACGAGAAGATATCCTCACATGACGACATGGACATACCCATGCCCATGTCCATGCCCCCCATCTCCATGCCCATATCTATGCCCATGCCCATCATCCCCACCATGTCCATGCCCGCGCTCCCCACCCGCCCCTCCTCTTCTGAGCCCTCCTCCGCGCCCATCTCCCTCTCCATCTCCAGGTTCCTCTCAGCCTCGGCGAAAATCGCATCGCCGATGCGCGAAACGAGCAGCTTCTTATCGGCTTTTTTCTCCGGAGCCCTGTCCTCCCCTGCCTTGCCACTCCTCTGGTTCTCCACTGTTCCTGCTGCCTCTCCTGTTTCCACCGAGCCGCCAGCAGCCGAACGGAGAGAAGCCCTGGCGGAGGCAGGGGAGGAGCTAGAAGGACATGCACTGTCCGCAGGGCACAGAGCAGCACCGCACGCCCTGCCACTGGCACAACCAGCAGCACCAGCAGCACCTGATGCGCCACTAGCACCGCTGCCAGCCACAGTGACAGCGGTCTTGCCACCACTACCAGCAGCAGCAGCTGCTGCAACTGCAGCAGCGGAAGAGGCGAAAAAGGGGACCTTGTGGGGCGGAGAGGGGCGTGCAGGCATGCCCACACCCACACCCGCTAGAGCAGCGGGAGGAGTGGGCGCGGCGGACGCAGCAGAGGCAGGCGCGGAACGGGGCGGGGCGGGCACGCGAGCAGCTCTGAGCGTGGCGGCAATGGCAGCCATGGCCGGGGAGAAGGGGCTGCCGGGCGGGGGGATGGGCAGGAAGACGCTGGGACTCGCAGGCGCGCGGGAAGCGGGCGCGTGCAGGGGAGCTGGGGGGAGCGCGGGGGGCGTGCAGAAGGGCGGGAAGGGGGTGGCGGAGGGGGGTGCGGATTGGGGAGCGGAGGGGAGAGGGGGTGGATGGGCGGCATGGGCTGTGCTTGGCGTGGGAGGGGATGGGAAGGCTGAGACGCGGTCTACAGTCACGCCCTCCGCAGTCACAGTGCTCTGGCCGAGACCTGGGGAGGTGAATGCGTTGCTCTTATTCGCAGGGCTTTCCCTCACTGCAGCGTCATGCACCTTCCCACCGCCGTCGCCAGTGCCACCGGCTCCTCCGCCCTTATCCTCCACCCTCCTCCTAAGCGCATTCCCATCCTCGATTGTCCAATTCTCCTGCTCCGCCTGCTCACCCTGCTCCGCCTCCTCCCCCTGTTCCGCTTGTTCCCCCTGCTCCGCGCCCAGGTCCCTCATTACCACGGGCGACCACGACTCCCGCCCCCTCTCCCCGCCGCCGCCCTGCTCCTCCTCCGCAATCCGCACAGGCGACGCCTGTGCCGAGCCCATTGGCGCACCCACAGCCGCAGGCACGGGCGCAGGCACGGGCGCAGGCACGGGCGCAGGCACGGGCGCAGGCACGGGCAGGGACCAGGGGGAGGTGCGCGCGAGCTTGTGGCGCGGGGAGACGAGCGGGGAGGCGGCGGAGGTGATGCTGTGAGAGCGCTTGCCAGCGAGGCGCGGCGACGTGAGGAATGCAGACGGTGCGGCGGCGAGCGCAGCCGCCACGGCGTTGGGGATCCCTGCTGCAACCACGCTAGCTGTAGGCGCCGCAGTTGCTGCAGGTGGTGGCAAGGAGTGGTTGTCGATGAGGGGACCCTTGAGCCCCTTGGCGTCCTTGGGGTTGAGGCGCACGGGTGGAAGCAGAGGGCTCGCCCCACCAGCTCCCTGCACCACCTGCCGCTGCTGCTGCTGCTGCTCCTGGTGCTGCTGGTGCTGCTGCGAGTTGGCGTGCTCGTGGTGGTCAAGGTGCAACTGGCGCTGCCACACCATCTCCATCTCCTGCTGCTGCCGTGTGCGCTGCCGCTCGTGCTCCACCTTCTGCTGCGACAGCAGCAGCTCCTGCTGCTGCCTGTGCCGCAGCGTCAGCATCTGCTGCTGCTGCTCCTGCAGCAGCGTCAGCCGCTCCTGCTCCTCCACCTGCTGCTCCTCCTGCAGCACCTGCTGCTCCTCCTGCTGCTTCGCTATTGCCTTCTCCGTTAGCAGCCACTTCCCCTCTGATGTCTCCAGAGCGGACAGCTGCTGCCCTTGTCCGCGCAGCCACTGCTGCTGCTGTTGCTGCTGCTGCTGTTGCTGCTGCTGCTGTAGCATCTGCCATTGCTGCGGTTGCTGTTGTTGCTGCTGTTCGTCCTGCTGCTGCTGCGAGCGTTGCTGCTGCTGTTGTTGCTGCTGCCATTGCTGCTGCAGCTGCTGTTGCTGCTTCTGTTGCTGCAGCCAATGCTGCTCCTGCTGCTGCTGCTGCTGCTGCTGCTGCCATTGCTGCTGCTGCTCCTGCTGCTGTTGCCATTGTTGCTGTTGCTGCTGCTGCTGCTGGTGCTGCTGATGCTGCTGCTGCTGAAACACCTGCGCGGCATGCGCTGCCTGTGCAGCCTGTGCGGCATGCGCGGCAGCGTTCATGGCATGAGCGTGCGCCTGCATCTCCTTCGCCTGCTGCTCTTGCAGCTGTAGCCGCTGCTGCTGCAGCCGCTGATGTAGCTCCTGCTGTAGCTGCTGCTGCTGCTGCTGCTGCTGCTGCTGCTGCTGCTGCTGCTGCTGCTGCTGCTGCTGCTGCTGCTGCTGCTGCTGCTGCTGCTGCTGCTGCTGCTGCTGCTGCTGCTGCTGCTGCTGCTGCTGCTGCTGCTGCTGCTGCTCACCAACACCGAACATCAGACCCATCTCCAAGTCCACACGCTGGTTCGGCATCCTCTCCTCTTGCCCCATGCCTGGACCGAAGCTCGGGCCGAGGTTCGGGTGAGTCACGGACCGTCCGGGAATGGATTGGAGGAGGCCCAGGTTCGGTTGCGCAGCAGAGAGATGCCCGCCGGGAAAGAAGTAACGATTGCCTTGCGCGAGCTCCGCTTGTCTCTCCATCTCCACCTTTTGCAGCGCGCCTGCCTGCATGCCCTGCTGCGTGCCTTGCTGCCCCGCAAAGCCGAAGTCCGCCGGGAAATGCGGAGGCGGCATCTGGTTCAGCTGTTGCGGCTGCTGCGGCGGCTGTGGGTAAAACGGACCTCGGTCGGCGGCGGTGCTGGGAAGAGCGCGGGGGGAATAGGCTGGCGGAGACATGCGCGGCGCTCTTTGCCCAGAGTAGGAAGAAGGCGCAGGCGATGTCATTCCGGGGGCGCACGCGGAGGGTCGGTGCTGCTGTCCGGACGGCTGCTGAACACGCAGTAGCGGCAAACACGGACAGAGGAATATAAGTTCAGACTTCATATGCAGGAACATATGACACGCGTTGGTCAGATGAAGAATGGCACTAACGCGTACCCTACAAACAATTGACTCACTGCGGACACGCATGCACCGGACCTCACCTTGCCTGCCCTCGGGCTTTCCGCCAGATGCGCCGCGCTCCCTGCGCGCGCAGAGTCCCGGAACGACTGCGACGCGTCGCCCTGCGCGACAGCTGCTGCGAAGCCGTGCGACAGGCTCCGCTGCAGCACTGCTTCCATCATATCCGCATCTCCCACCGCATCTCCCGCCGTCGTCACCGCCGTCGACGTCGCAACGGTGCTCACCGGTGGCAAACCCACCGACGTGCTCGACATCGCTCGTCTCGCCGGCACCGTCCTCCCCGCGCCGCTCGTTGCTGCCGCCGCTGCGCCGCATCCAGCCGCTCCGCGGGCTCCCGCCGTTCCGCTTAGCCCCGCCGCCCCCCACTGCTTCCGCGGAGCGGAGGCGCAGACCGTGGCGGTGCTGGGTTCCGGCGCAGCGGGCTTGGAGAGCGACGGGTGCTGCACGGAGCTCGTTAGACTCATAGTCGCCGCCGGCGTTACTAACGGTCGCAGGCTCTTCACGGAACCAGAGGTTAACCGCGTCGCACGGCCAGAATCTGGCGACGGCAGCGCGTCGTCGTGCGACAGCCTGGTAGTGTGCGACGCGATGAGCGACGTCGTGGCGCCTGTTGACGTGGAGCACGCGGGGCGAGAGTGCTTCTGATGAACTTGGAGCAACGGCGGGGGTGGTTTCGCCAACTCGCAGCCCCAGAGCTGAGCAAGATCTGCTGCGGACGGGCAGCCCGTGAAATTTTCGAACGCATGGCGTCTGTGTAATTGCGAGGAGGATAACTTGCCGTGAATCGCGCTATCGCAAGCGATGCAGAGAGAGAGGTTTTCGTCAACGCAGCGAAAAGCTGCCGGTTGGAGATTACAGCCGTCGCACAGGAGAGTCCGTTGATGTCTCAACGACAGGTTATTGGCAGAGTGCACGACGCGATCGCAGGAAAGGCACAGCCTAGCGGAATCGGCGCGGCAGTATACGGTGGCTCTTCCCTTCTCGCAATACTCGCACGTACTATCCATCTTAAAACGCGAAAACCAACCGTCGAAACCTAGCGCAAGAGCGATTTCTACAAGCTACAAAGTCTAAGCGGCGCGAATAACAGGAAACTAGCTGGTGAATCCCAAGCTAACAGTTGTCTTGAGAGTCGGCGCAAGTCTTGGTAGCAGTATCTGGGTTGCACAATCTAAAGAGTTGAAATGAGAGCAACAACTGTTGTAGCTCTCAGAAGCTCATCCATGAAACCCCCTTCCCTGCCACAGAGATGCCTGCCTCGGGACCTCCTCAAGGCTCACCATTCACCTGGGGCGTGGTCGCTTTTTCGTGTTGAAACGTTTGGTCGACACTCAGTCAACACGAAGTCGGTTAAGTTCGCAAGTTTGGAAAGGAAGAATCCCATTCTCCTCGGCAACGAGAAACCTCACGACGCTAACGAACATTGTAACCCCAGTGTATGTCGATTTCAGAACGTACGGAGCTGCGCTACATGCTCTAAACGCGGCCTATTCGCAAGCCTTTTCATTCATTCCCCCTGGGAGTCAGTGTTCCGCCTTAGGGTAGCGGTTGGGGAAAAAGCATCGCCATTTTTCCCGAACAGCGGAGAGTGGATAACAAGGGTTGGTGAACTGTGCGGAAAAGCACACTTCTGCAGTTCCGCTGGAGGAACTTTTGCGCGGGAATCGTGCTCCAAGATTGGGGGGAGCTCTCTGAAGCACTCATTCATCGCGTTGCTCCCCGCCAACTCTCACTCACGGTCTCCGCTCACCCGCACCACGAACTTGCCGCGCTGGCGGAACCAGGAGGTGCTGTCTTCGTAGAGCCAACGTGAGACGAGGGGCAGAGAAGAAACAAGTCTTTCAGCGTAAACGCGTGCGCAAGAAAGGGATATGGCTGACGTGGTAGTCCTGAAAAAGAGCAGTTGCTGACGAAAAAAGTGCCTCTGCACGCGTAGTGCTGGATTGCTGTTGCGATGGTGGGACAACAATATCGCCCTTATCCAGATCTGGGCTCTTTTGGTTCAACCACGAAGAGCTTTTCTTTATGGGAAAAGCTGCCATCCGCGCACAAACCAGTGAAATCCCTTCCGCCACGAAACCCTAGGCGCACTTTTACGCTTTTCGGCGCTCAGCGTGGCAATGTCCACAGTGGCGTCCAGATGTAAGTGCAGCAGAAGTTGCCATGTGGAATAAACTTGTGGTCTCATCGTAGGTGGCAGATACGCTTTACCTCACAGCCCTGAGATTAGGTACTGCTTGACTTGAGCATGCCACAGCCGCAACTGCCATTCACCAATTGAGGCTATAATTCTCCACGTGTCAGACATTTTCTGGGACTTGTCACCAGTGGACAATTGTTCCGCCAACTTCAGTGCACTCTGGGAGGCAACCAGTGAGTCAGCCAAGGTGGATACTTCGTAAAAGCGGTAAAATTATCAGCTGCCCATTCAAGATGATGGGGAAACCCGCACGCAACCGCAACTGCAACCGCCAAGACGGATGAGCTCAAGGCAGAAGAGATGGCGGGAGGGAGGGGTGTCAGCTTGTCTGCAGTATGTTCCGCAAGGTATGTATAGACGAACCAATGGTTGAATTCTCAAAAAACTGAATTCTGACACGGTCACCCAAGATCGGTTTCGTTACGACAAATGAGACAACAAAATGAAGCCGGGACAAAATAAACTGCCAGCACAAAAAAATATATATATACACATATATATATAGCTAGACAGGAACCTTGGGTGCAGGTTGGGCATGTGAAGAGAGCCGCAAGCGACACCGAGGTAGTCTCTGTTGGAAACAAGTAATTTGAACGCTTCTGTTGTGTGTCGAAACACTAAGTCGTAAACGAGGCGAAGCACAGCGAAGCATCGGCGAGTCAACACTTGGAGGTTGAGAAGTGAAGAAACCGCTGGAGGTTACGCGAAAGTCAAAGGTCAGCGACCTTTGACCTGACAAAGTACAGCGCGACAGCAAGGACAAACAACTGACTCGCTATTGAGCAATTGCCCGAGTCGTCACTGTATCGAACCGCGACAGCAACAGTAAAACAGTTATTAGTTGCATCTTTTCATATTCCTTGTACTCTTATAAAAAGCCTTGTATCTCTTTGATTAATCAATCTACTTTGTCCTCACATACCAACGCAAGGTGGTTCAAGACTTATCATTATACGCTTCCGCATTTACAACAACTCCTACCCAGAGTTTAGCCTTGCAAAGATACTAAGGGCTTTTTCTCAGCCCAACATGGTATGAGAGCTATCAGGGCAAACTCAACTACTATCAAGACACCTACAACATCAGAAGGCATGGCAACACAGAAGGAGAGGAGTTCCTCTAAAGATTCTCCCGGTACTACTCCTACTCCACCTCCTGCCTCTGGCCTCCAGACAGAGGAGGGCACAGCAACAAGACCAGCAGCTGGGTCCACTGAAACTCCCGCAAATCAAGCCGCGGGCTTCGACCCAAGCATGATGGAGAAGTTCTTCTCCTTCATGTCCTTCTACGAACAACACCAGCAAGGGGCACATGCGCAGTCAAACAACAGCAACAACAACAACGATGTGACACCGAAGAGCCTCGACGGTTCATCCTACGCGCAAGGAAATCAGCAACAGCAACCTACCTTCGCTCCGTACGAACCCCAGCGCGGTTCCGTCAGTTTCATGCCGCGCCAGCAGCCTTCACCTGAGCAAGAGAAGACATTGGATGCACTTCAAGTTCGGTCGCAGTTTGCGCACGTCTTAAAACTGCAGACATCAAGACCGTTCGACGGAAAAGACTTCTTTACCTGGTCGTTCAAATTCGAGCTAGTGATGGAAGGCATGCAGATTCTTGGCTTCTTCGACGGGTCTCTGCCATATCCAACACACGGGACGCAATACGACAAACAGCAGTACACATACCAGTCGATGATGGCGTACACGATCTTGCTGAGGAACATAACTCCAAACCAGCAACAGAACATTCGGTCTTACTGAGGATACGGCAACTCCGCTGAGCTCGCGTACAACCACTTGAAGAACCTGTATCAAGCAACGAACAGCGTCAATCAGAGTCGGTTAATGGCACAACTGACAACACTGGAAATGAAACCGGGCGAAAAGGGGATGGCGTATATCAGCCGCTGTCGCGAGCTGCGCGACAAGCTTCTTCGATGTGGAGGGACGATATCCGAAGACGCCTTCGTCACACTCATCATCGGCGGTCTTGGTCCTCAATGGCGCTCCACCCGAGCCATTCTCCGAGCCCACGGAAAATTCTCCGAAGCAGCACTCTGCGCCGAGATTAATGCCGAGCAGCAAGACATGGACCTGTAAGAAGAAAAGCACAAGAGGAAGACGTCAGTACCTGAGTTCGCTTTCCACACTCAGCGGCGCTAGAACAACAACAATCACCGGCAGAACAAGTACCAAGGACAGCAACCCGTACCACCGTTTTGTCATCTCTACAAGACGTCGGGTCATCCCCGCACACACTGCCCAAACCGGCAGCAGTCAACGCAGCGGCAGCTTCGACCTTCAAGCAGTCAAGTAACATCCACGCAGGCGCACCCCACGAGTCAGCCGCAGTCCTCAACAACATCACCAATGCAACCTGCACAAGGAGCAAGAAACATCGTCAGTTGCATGGCAAGACTGGGAGATTTTTGCATCACTGAATCACCGCCACATTACTCACCGGAAGAGCAACTCGACAACAGCACTCCTCGCCGCGAATTACTTCAACCGAACGTACGCAGCCATCGCCCAAAACGAACCATCCGGGAAGGATACCTGGTTCTTGAACAGTTGCTGCGGGCAGCATATGTGCTCCTCGGGTCGCTTCGTTGAACGGGAATACCAACTTCAACGGGAAGTCGTGATCACCATCGCCAACAACCAGAACCTGCGCACACGACGACAAGGCGTGGTTCAACTTCAATCACGGGAAACGAACGTTATACTACAGATGTTGAACGTAAGTTGTAGCAGAAGGACTCGGCTACAACTTACTGAGCGTCAGTCAGCTGATGGCGAAAGGCATCCATCTCGAAGCAGACAGCACCACTCAGGAGTTCTAGCTGTACCACGGGAGAGGCGGGCTTTACATCGGGAAGGCGGTCCTGAAGAATAACGTCTTTGTCCTCGACTTTGTTCCAGATTTAGGCACCGCCGATAGCGACGGAATCGTCACCTTCACCTCCTGGACGCACCCACCGGATCTTGATCCTGACTTCAGCCCCGAAGGCTTCTAGTATTCGCACACTATTCCTGAGGCAGAACGAACAAG